AGGCAGGCACACACAAACACACACACACACGCGCGCTCGCGCACACACACAACCACACAAACAAACACACACACACTCACACACAAGCACAATCAAACACACACACAAGCACATATACACACACACAAGCACACACAAACACACACACACACACACACGCACACACACGCACGCACGCACGCACACACACACATACACACACACACACAGATTTAGGGATTTCAGTCCTGACCAATATCCTAAAATATGTTCTTCTGCAAAAAAGAAAAAGAGTAAACCATGTCCTTGTTTTTTGATAGCTGATGTTATTTTATTGGTTGTTATAGTAACTAACGCAAAAAAGGGATGAAGAAGATGTGTGTAATAATGCAGTGGTGCACGATAGCTATGAGAGATGCTCTTTGTTCAGTCTTTAAAATATGCACACATATGTCACACAAATCCAGTCTCTGCTCGACTGTCCGTACATGCAGGCAGCTCCCTTTACTGGGAAGGAGGAGGAGGAGAGAGATAAGAGGGGATTTCGGTTCCTATGTACAGCTGCTTATATACCGTAGATGTTTCTATTTGATTTGTTTCAGGGTTGTCATACGGGGGAATCTCAGAAAGGCTGTAGCTGCAATCAGTAATGCTGAAGTTCGGATCGTGTTACTGACTATGCATTAGTCTGGTGTCCCACTAGTCGATTTTCAGCTGTAGGCCCAAAAGGACAGACACAGCATTGCACACATTCATTGTGTCTATCTGTAGCTATGACCCGAATAGCATTTGGCTGATCATTTTGAGACTGTTTTGGTCTAACGGTGGTAAAATAAGAATGAGTAAGCATTGAAGATGCTAAACAGTCAGCAGACCTTTAGGTATGGTTAGTGTCGGATGTTTTAATGTATTGAAAAACTGTTGAGATTTTGAGGAAAAAGTCCAATTTTGATTGATGATTTTGGCTCTGGTTCTTCAGAGGAGCTCTGATTGAAAGAAAGGGATTGTAAAGTTGTGCTTTGGTTGGAGTAGCATTTGCTGAGAATTGTGGGATGGCAGGAGGCTTTGTAAGTTTTATGTTTATATTGGGGCAATATTACGGGACAGACCCAGCAATTTATTTGAATGACAACATTGACTTGCCTGGTTTATGCTTGTGGTTAATATTTCTTTTAAGTGCTCATGTATGTTTTTGAGTCTCAGTATCGATGAGACTGATGAGAGTGCTGAGATGAGGACGAGTATCCCATAGTGCTTTGCGACTGGGAAGGGCCTTGGACGTTGCTCTGGTAACCAAGCCGCGAGCTGGAGTGCTGCAATGAAGAGAGGAGAAAAAAGGAGAAAATTTATTTTTTTTAATTATTAAAAATTAAGCATTTTGCATGACCAAGCAGTGTACTCACAAATCATTAACAAAATATTAGTTTATAGTTAATTCATAGCTTATAAACTGTAGATAATGCATTGTCACTGTAATTAACACAACTATTATTGTTTAATTAGCTCATAGTAAAGAAACTGTTAATTGGTAATAAGCAGTGAATAGTTCTCACTTTAGATTAGGTCACTGAAAAAGGGAAAATTAAGT